GCTCCTGTTTATGCATATCTATCAAAATTAAGAGCTATGTTTCCTTCCTAGGTCTGTTTGCCATAGGCAAAGTAATTGTATCAATTAATTTTTCCTAATTGTTTTTTCTCTTTGTGTGAGTTTTTCAGCTTGCACTATTAGTCACTATGTCTGTTCTATCATCGTTGGAATTATTTTAAGTATTATGTCTTCATTACATGGGCCATAACAGAAGGCAGGATCAGTTCTATTGGGGCACAGGCCCCTGCTGGCCCCTGTTTACAACAGCACATGTATTAGACACTAAAATCAGTGACATTTCCCGGGGCATCTGGTCACCTTATCATGGATGCTCCTTTAGCAGCTAAACTTACTGCGTTGGAGCTTAACCTAACCTAGCCTTTATCATATACATCATCACTCATGTAGGCAATATGTTGCAGCATACCCCATCATACCAGCATACTCATTATCAATAATGAAGATGTCATGTTTGCATTTATCCCTTTAGTTTTGTTCGAAAAATAGACTTTAAACTACCTCAACGGATATGCATCACTTTAGTCATCTACAAAAAAAATATCTTTAAGCTGAGATCACCACACACTTCAAAAAACACCAAAAAGTAAGTAATTAGATAGTTTTTTTTGTACATGACTAAAGGGATACACACCTGTTGAAGTAGTTTAAATGTATTTTTCGAACAAAACTAAAGGGATAAACGGGTATTGACTATGGGTATGCTGGTCTGACCGGGTATGCTCATCTGACACACCACCGCCTTCAATCGGTTGTACCGATTGAAGCTAAACGTCAGTCAGAAACAAATATTATAGTACTATAGGCTACGACAAAGGTCCAAATGTTGTAAATAATTTGAAACATTATATCACCATAACTGGATAAAAGCATATTGAAGTATAAATTCATGTTGAATTATAGTCCAGCCCTAAAAGAACTGCTTTCATCATCACTGCTTTTACATAAAACAGATTGCCATAATTCTACATTCTTAACCAAAACAGTTAGTCTAAATTAAGCTTTATAGTAAATGAAGAACTGTGGCTTTAAGGTGGAAAATTTCGCACAGGTAGAAACTTGCTAAAAGGGGTCCCAATGATTGTGACCCGGGGCCTCTGTGTCTGTTACAAAACCTAGGTTGCTCAAAGTATACCGTATTATCAAGCTGAGCAGGTTTGCTCAGTACATGAGTATGATAGAATAAAGTCCCTTCAGTTCACTGTCTCCTGTTCGCACACAAATGTTTGCTGGGGGAAAAAAGGAAGGTCACTTCAGGCGTTCAGTCGAAACTCTCATGTGTCATGGCCCCATCCTACCCCCTAAAAGAAAAAGACCAATTTAAATCAAATTACAAACAGATTATCTCTTAGTCTTAATCTAATCCGCCACAAAGGACCAGTTGTCAGTCTGTGGAACCACACAGCAAAAACCATATAGTTATATTAGATAAGACTAGGCATGGATAGGTTATTGCTATGAAGGCAGCAAAAGTTGAAAGGGTGTCAAGAAACTTTTAAGAAAAACTAAATCCCTCAGGAAAGGACTCAGTGAGGACTGTGGTCGATTCAGAGAGAGTGTGCAGAACGGAATAATCAAGGCTCCCTGTCCCTGCAGGCTTTAAGCCTGCGTGATGTTACACAAGGAATGTCCTGTTGACAGAAACAGGTTGTTCAGTTTGACTGTGTCACCACTAATTGTTTCTTTTGCATAAAGAAAAAAACAAGTTGACATTTGAGATATTTTCTTTCCTACTAGATAAATGCACGCTTTTTTAGTTTGAGGATTTTAAGTCCTTTGATATGATTACCAGGGGTGCCAGCCAGTGTGGTAACTAGCACTGCTCCAAGCGGCTGCCTCAGACGCTCAGACCTTATAAAAGCATTTCACCACAGCCTCCTGCAACATTAAATGATGATGCAAGCCTTGCATTGTTTAATGTTGTAACCAAGTGATCCTTCCTCTGTAACAAAGTTCCTGTTATCGAAGTCATGTTGGAAAATATCCTCATGTTTTAAATTTCCTTTGCAGGTGGTGTTTGAGTCAAACTTTTTTCCTTTTTTTTTTTTTTTTTTTTTTAGACAACTTATTGGTCAGTTTGGTTAAAAATCACAAATAAAGCTTTTAATTGAATTGAACCTCAACACAAAAACAAGAAAAGATTATATATGGAGTGAATCTTGTTCCATGATTGCAAGCAAATAAAACATTTTTGTAAATGGAAATTGGAAGAACAATTATATAATAGTTTGTTTTTTAAGCATTTATTGAAAGTTTGTTCATATTTTCAACTTTTCTAATTTTGATCACATTTTTTAGATCATATTTTTGTAATTACTCTTTAACTAATTGAATTTTACAAATAGCATTCTATTTCGTATTGTGTTTTAAAGTCTTTCTTCTAGATTGAAACATTTCTTTTGGTCTCCATGGATGTTAGCAACAACCAGTGGCGGTTCTGGACCAAATGTACCAGGGGGCCAGGAGGGGGCCAGGAGGGGGCCTGCATGTTTTCATGGGAGCACAGAAAAGCATGAAATAAACAACAGGGCAAAGGATTCAAATAGCTGCATGAATTGAAATTTCCATTCAATTAGGTTTCATTAAAATTCTATGTCTTATTATTCATAATTTAGAAATTTTACATATTTTTGACTTAATTTAAGTAAAAATTACAGTTTTCTATCAAATCTGAATTAGAACTCAAGAAAAACTGATTAATTCAGCTGCAAAAATGTATTTGTTTTGAAGAAAAACATTTAGCAGATGAAAAGTGGGATCCCATCTCAATACCACTAAGCTATCACCTTATTGTTTTTAAATAATTAGTAGAATTTCTAAAGAAAAAAAATGAGAAAGAACTACTACAGTCTGTTCCAGCGCATATCATCATTAGAATTTCTTTGAGTATTATATCTTCAATACAGGGACCATAACAGGGGCCAGGACATGATCTACAGGGGCACTGGCCCCCGTTGGCTCCTGTCCAGTTGCGGAGCTAGATTGGTGGCCACAGGTGGCCACCCCTACCATTTAATTCCCTCTAATACAGATGGTGGCAAAACATTTTTATTTTTCATATATTAACAATGACTTGACAACAAAAACTCTGTGGTTAATTCTGCACATCAATATACTAACATTAATGATGATAAATACAGAATTCATGCTCTTTTCAGAAATAGATTTGTGTTTTATGGGGTAAAGACAAAATTATGTGTCTCTGCAAGTCATCTGGGAGTCTTCAGTGAAATCATAGATAAATAACTATTTTAATAAAAACATATTAAATGATCAATTAATGTAGATATTAGTACTTGTAAATATTAATTTTATGCAGAATAATCACTGATAAAAGTAGGTAAGTAATGACAATGAAAAGATGTTCGCCCAAAACTCAAACCTGAAAGAATTTTATCTACTATACCTTTTATGTAGAAAGCACAGATATTTGAATATATTCCTCAATTTGTTAGAAAAGGCTGTGGGAAAGTATAGTTTGTTTTTATTTAGAAAATATGGAGGTTTTGCTGTTGGAACAGTTGAGATTGACCCTAAGGTTTTAGCCACCACTCAGTGTAGATTGGTTATTGCCTGGCCACCCTTATTAAAATTTTCTGGCTACGCCTCTGCTCCTGTCTAGAGCCGCCTATGCCAACATTTTACAGGAATAGTACACCCAAAACATGATTAGCCTTCATTTTCTACTCACCCCCATGCTGAACAACACTCTGGAGTACTTTTTTGATATCTCAA